GGGTTTTTTTGAATTTTGGTGTTCTCGGGTTTTGGGCCCATTAGTGTTTTGGCAGGATCACATAGTGGCTCAATTTTTTCCTTTTTTTTTTTTTTTTTTTTTTTTTTTTCAGTGATCTTACTGCATCTCAGAAACACTGAAATCCTGGAATACTTTGCTAGCTGTAAGGCAGTGGGGTGTCAATTGCTATAGGGAAGGGGACTTGTGTAGGAACAAGTGAGCTTATTCTAGCTGGCTTTGCCAGTGATGGATTGAAGTGTAAAGCTTTGAAGAGAAAAGAAAAAAGAAAAGCCAAGGGCTTAGATTCTACCAATGGTCAGCTTGGAGAGTCTGAACACAGCAAGCTTTTCTAAAAAGAGTTTTGTCTAATCTGGGTACTCAAATATTTCATTGTGGATTACTATTTAATGTTAAAGATTGTTGTAATAATTTGTATTTGTTGTAGTTTTACTATCTCATTTATTTTGTGGCTGTATGTCACAAGTGTTTGGGGGAGATTAGATCTGTTTTTCCAGTGTCTTCATGTCAGTGTAACAATTATCTATAAAAAGCCACTTAGAAAGAATAAATAAACCAGAAGTGGCCCAAGGGGAAAGAATCAAGAAACTCTTCCGACTTATAGAAGAAAAGACTTCCCAAATTTTTATTTTGAAGATTTTCTTTTTGTCTCATTGTGACAACATCATGGTTTTTTGAGACTGGAACTTTTAAGTGTTCAATGAGTGTTTTATATTTCAGCTACCACTTGAACTTTAGTTTTTCACAGGGTGATGTGACACGTGTAGCAAGGAAGTTATCACAAATGATAAGGAGCTGGAGAATCAGAGCTTTTGAGAGAGAATTTAAGAGAAATTAGTCTGGGAATGGCAGAGCGACAGCCCTTCACAGTTAGAATATGGGTCATATACCTGGTAGGCACTTGGTAAATGATAGTTTGAAACAAACTGCTGGTCTGGAATCAAGAGGCAGCATGGCCACAGTCAGCCCTTTCAAGGGTGTGTTGATAAGGAGACAAAAGTCTTCCTCAGTCTTGCCCTTGGTCTCACGTTGCTACACCGTCATGGGAGGGGGTTAGGTAAGACAGTGCAAGTAGTAAGTGACCCAATGAGTATAAGAAGTGAATTGGAGTAGCTGGAGAGGTTTTAACAGAGAAGACACTTCAAGTGCTAAGCTTTGTCAAAGTAAATGAACAAACAAAATTAAATAAAAATGAACGTGTAGATGTTGAGAATGGAGTCGTGGTTACCAGAAGTGAAGAGGCAGGGGGCGGAGGGTGAAGTGGGTAAAGGAGGCCAAGTGTATGGTGTTGGATGGAAACTAGATTTTTGGTGGTGAGCACACTATGGTACATACAGAAGTAGAAATATAATGTTGTAAAAGTGAAATGTACATAATGTTATAGACCAATGTTACCTCAATAAAAAAATAAAAATAAATAAATAAAGAGCTAGGCTTTGAGCTAGGCAGGTAAGATAAAAGAAGTTGGAGAATTGGAGGGAAAGCCTGATGTGTTGGGAGAGGGGAAGGACAGAAGCTGATGCTGGGAGCTGGACTTGACTAGGTCTATTTTTAGGATGATGAGGAGAGTCTTCTGCCCAACAGAGGCTGTAGAATAGTCCTGTGGGACCAGAAGGTCCTCAAAGGTTGGACGCGTAGGGTGGGGCCAGATCACAAAGGGCAGAGAGGGCTCTAACCACGGAGGGCTGGAGACGGTTTATACAGTTACAGATGTCATGCCAGCGGGCTTAAGGGAGGTTGGCAGGATGGACCGGAGGGGGCGGAACCTGGAGGCAGAGGTGCTCAGTAAGAGGGGCGGTTAAGTAACCCAAGCCTCTAGTGCTGCAGGTCTGGACTTGGGGCAGAGCAGTGAAAAGGGAGAGCGAAGGAAAGACGTGCCAAAGAAACTAACAAGGCATGGATATTAAGGTTTCTCCCAAATGAGCAAGAGGGTTTAGAAGGTCCTTTTCAGAGATATTCCATAACCTAGGCCTATACTAAGTCTTAGAACCTCTTTCAGGATATCCAGATGGGAATTTAAATAAAGAGAGGCAATAGAACCTAAATCACTTTATGATCCTTCCCTCGGGGACAAAGTCCAGCTTTGTCACAGAGCAGTCGATAGACAACATACAACACTACATTAGAGGGTAGAAAACCAAAACAGTATTGTGGATAATCATATACTACATTCATCTGCTCAGGTAAAAGTAACTTTTTTTTTCTACTTGGTTACTGAGTTGTTTTTACAGAATTGGCCTGTTTTGATAAAATGTGCACTGTCGATGTGGAACTTTTCAAAGAAATGAAATTGTAAACACAATGAACTTGAAGCACCATTTAAAATCTTTTCTATAATTAGATGGGATGGCGAGGAATAGGTCAATAAATACCTGATCCCTGTGGTTTGTGTCCTCTGTCCTGACAGGTTATCACCAATTCAGAATGTTGCCGACTGTGCAATTATTTGGCATCAGATGACAGTATAAGTGAAGAGCTGTGTTCATACTCTTAGGTTTATCAAAGTTTATATGATAATTTGCTTAAATTCTTAGCCAGAAAAAAGAGAGAGATAGTGAGTGTCCATCAAGGGGGAGTAAAAGGGATGACCCTGATCTAGGGGATATATTCCCAGGGCTGGAAAAAGACTAGAGGCAGAAGGAGTGACCAGGAGGGAGGGAAGGTAGAGTCAGCTAAGGAAAAGAGAGCAGGCATGATTGGAAAAAGGAAAAAAAAAAAAAAGATTCTCAAAATGAAGGAGAGAGAGAAGGTTCCAGATGGACCTTCCCAGATGGACAGCTGGGGATGAGTAGTCAGCCTGAGAGTTTCTACTGCAGAGGAATTGAGAAAGGCAAAGTGGTTAAGTTGAACGTGACCACAGAAATGTGTGAGCACAGATTCTTGCTTTTTTTCTCCCCTCGGGGCACTACGTGAAGTCGGTTTCTCTGTTAATGGGAATCCAAAAACTCTCAGGATCTTTTAGTTGATTCTTAGCCATGATTTTCCCTCGATTTTATAAGGTAATGGTATAGTCAGAAATGCAGCTCAAACCTGAGGTCTCAATCCTTCCGCAGTAAGTATTCCTATTCATAAAAATATTATACTCCTAGGTAAATGTTTCAACATTTACGGTCCTGAATCACAATGACTATATTCCTTTCAATTTAGTGAAACTAGTTTGTAAAGGAAAGTTTACGTTTTTATATTTTTAATAACCTTCCAGATGACTCATCGTCTGTGCGTGTGTATTTTTCTTTGTAGCTCCCACAAACACATACTCACTTATTTTTACAAATGGAAAAAGTCTTTGACGCAGGTGTGGTCAAGCCAAGTCTCCCTAATCCTTATATTATTGGTTGAAGAGTATGGTATTTTTCAGTAAACTAACATATGTGTGAGTTTAGGAAAGTTAACTTAAATTCCCTGGTCCCGGCTACTTCAGCTGAAAAGATAGAGATAATAACAGCACCAATCCCACAGGGCTGTTGTAAGGATTAGAGTGATCCTGGTACATAGTAATTATTGGATTGAAAAATGGTGGTTACTTAATATCTTATTGTTATTCTTATTAATTCTATGGTTTGCAATTGATTTTCTGAAAGAAACATAGTACTTTACATTGATCCTTGATAAATTTCACGTCAGTTTCAGTTCTTCTTTTTAGCTATTTTGTCTATTTTACCTGTTGCTTCTGACATCTGTGGCATTTAGCTTTGCATGGGCTGTGACGTGACAAACATCCCTTCTCTGCCCTAATCTAAGTGGCTAATAAACTGTTGAGCATGACAGAGCCCTGCTATGGGTGTCTGGGTCTCACGGCTAGGGCTCTCACTTGGAGATCCTATTTGACAGATGCTGGGACATGGTTTTTCTTCTCAGGTCTTGGAATCCTCAATTGGCATTTCCAGTTACTAGACTTTTCATGTTCAATTCTTCAGAAACAAATTTATCTTCTTTTCACCTTTCTGCCACTAGATCCCTCTCTGGTCCTCCCTGTTTCTGTCAATGGTGTCATCATCAACTCTAAGTCTGATGCATCCTTTCCTCTGTACCTCCACTCACCTAACACAACCTCTGGTCTTTCTTTCATGATGCTTCCATATATGCCCTTTTCTTTCCTTTTCTACCACACCATCCTGGTTAGGTCCTCATCATCCTGTGTCCCCCAGCTACAAAATGAGGAGTTTGGATCTGACAATTCTCAAAGTCCCTGTCAGCTCTGATGGTGTGTGATCCTTTAGCCATGAAGACCATGCTTGAAATGTTACATCCTCTAAGGCTACCATTTCATCCCATGACCCTCAGGAAATATTTCCTGATGGAATTATCAACTTGTTTGAGATAGTTTTCAAAATATTTTCAAACTCTTTTCTTACAAAGTTTTTGAAAACTGCCCAACTCAGAACACTGGGAACAGAGGATTCATCTAGACAGCATCCAGATGCATCATCTAGAAGGTAGCTATGATGTATTTAGAAGGACAAAGCAATTGGTACCCAAAAGGTCAGGATTCCGATTGCCAATTACGAGCTATGGGTTCTGATGAAATCACTCAACTTCTCTAAGCCTCAGTTTCCTCAACTGTCAAATAAAACTAGAGATGCCTTCCTCACAGGCTTGTTGTGAAGACATGGGCTAAAGTGCCCAGAATATTTGTCACATGGTCAGTAACAAGTAAATAAAAAGTAAACACAGGGCTTCCCCGGTGGCGCAGTGGTTGGGAGTCCGCCTGCCGAT